AGCTTAGATATTAATTTAAAGACTTGGAGTTGAAGTCAAAATTATTAGCCTTAAATTATTAAGTCAAAATTATTAGCCCTAAATTATTAGTCAAAATTATTTAAAATATTTTTTTTCTTTTTTAAATATTTCACAAATGATGTTTACCAGAGCAAGGAAATTTTCACTGTATGTCTGATAATATTTTTCTTCTGGAGAAAGACTTAATTGTTTTATTTCATCTAGAATGAAAGCATTTTTTTTATTTTTTAAAAACAATTTTAAGGTCAAAATTATTAGCCCCTTTAAACTAGATTTTTTTCAGATAGTCTACAGAACAAACCTTCATTATACAATAACTTGCCTAATTACCCTAACCTGCCTAGTTAACCCAGTTAACCTAGTTAAGCCTTTAAATGTCACTTAAAATATCTAGTAAAATATTATTTACTGTTATCATGACAAAGATAACATAAATCAGTTACTAGAAATTAGAAATGTGTTGAAAATATCTTCTCTCCCTTAAACAGAAATTAAGAAAACAATAAACAAAGGGGCTAATAATTCAGGGGGGTTAATAATTCTGACTTAACTGTATGTGTGTATATATATGTTTTTTTATTTATTAATATTAAATATTAAGCTATGATGACAGATTTAATTAATGGCTAAAATATAACCCAAGTAAACCTAATAAACAAAATCATGAACTTTTTAAAACACTCTCTTTAAAGCGGACAGCAAAAACTGTCAAAATGAAGTCTTGTTGGCATCCAGTTTACAGAACAACAGATGGTTAGCTGCTCATGCTGTCAATTCAAATATCCCTTTTTTCTGAAGCGTTTTTAAAAACCTAACAGGTCTATTTGCCAGTAGGTGACGCAGTGGCTGATTCCAGTCCCCTCTCATCATGCGTTTATGCATAATGAGGCAGAAGGGGACAGAGTTCAGAAGAAGTTCAGCTCACTGCTAATCACGCTTTCCGCACTATTCTGGCAAATGCAAACCCTCTGAAGACCGTCACAGTAAAACCCTTACATCTACTGATTCAAGATGGCTTCTTATATAAGCTGTAACCTTTTGCACTGAAGATCAATTCTTTGTCTAAAGGTAAAGGGAGCGAGCTGGAGTAGCTAAAAGTGCTTGGCAAAGAAATGTGTTTTTGCAATTTCTGCCGTATCAATTGCAAGTTTGACGCAAATAAATAATGTTTGCGAGCCGTCTCATTTACACAGGGATGACCTCAGAGGAAAGTCTTGGCTCCTCTACTGATTAAAAAGTGATTTTTTTTTTATATTTGTAAAACAGTGTGTCTTTTGTGTTTTAAGTGTAAGTGTTTGACAAGCAGCTTCTCAAGGACACAACAAGGCTTATATTTAACAGTGCATTCAAGTCTAAAATCAGGTTTTAATCCTCTAATATGGCTTATTTGTGCTTTGGGAATGCTCATTGATATCCTGATTTAAAAAAAAAATACAAATTTGTCAAAGCTACCCTGTGCAGAAAGGTTTCATCCCCTGATATAAATCTCCATTTGCACAGTGACAGAATGAGTGAGCCCTTACATAACCAGCCTCTTTTAGTCCACTGTGAATGACAGTCGTGCCTTCGCCAGCAGACAGGAATTTACTTGTTCTGAAAAAACAGTGTGTGTGTAAGACTACTAAAAGTTAAAAAACAAGGAAGCATTGGTACCCCATAGGGGGAAAAGAAGCAGTTGGTCTGATTCCCACATATTAAGATATTTCTTTCTTTCTATTTATTTTTTCAAAGTCTTATAGTCCCTGTAAATGAAACAGTATTAGCAGTTTTCTGTATTTTGTGATGGTGGTATTTTTCCCCATTTATTTTTGCTTTTGAATTGCATTATGAAACCTTGATCTTTCTTTCAATAACTTTTAACCTTGAAAACTTGTGACTTTTATTAGCATTTTTAATAAAGTGCTAAATTGTCTGGTGTTGGTGTTGTATGTTACAGTACAATAATCTTGTAATAAACTACCAGTACATTTTTTTATTTTTATTTTACAGGCTTGTTTCTCTATATATTACTTTTTATACATTCATATTATTTCAAACTACTAAAATGTCAGTAAAAGTCACTTTGTTAAACTGAGTTAAATTTTCGACATCAAAAGCCGACAGAGCAGAGATCAACGTGCCTGAGAGTTTTATTTTAGTATGTTAATGAACTTAAAACTGAAACGGAATATTGAGTAGGGGGTGGGGCTTTCTTTTGCGCTTCATTCTCTAGTATCAAACTAACGGTAAGAGAGGACTAAATGAATGCAATTTCTATGGAAGCCCTCAGGTTGACATAAACAGAAACACCACCACTCCAAACGTAGAAGAAAATGGTCAGACTTTCATTGAAGATTACCAAAATAAACAATTTTTTTTTGTGAATTTACTTGCAGATTGATCATTCACCTTAAGAATAACAATGTGAGCTAGCAAAATAAACATTGTGCGTTTCTATTTCAGTTTTTTATTGGCTTCAGAAAAAAACACTGTTGTCCCATAACTTGCCTAATTAACCTAACTTTCTAATCAACTTAGCTAACTATGTCTTTGAATTAATTTCTAAGCTGAATATTAGAATCTTGCTAAATGACTTGGAAGATATTATGTACCACCATCATTGCAAAGACAAAATAAAGTGGTAATTAAAACTATTATTTTTAGAAATGTGTTGAAAAATATCTCAATTGGCAGAACTTGGCAAATATTAAAAAAAGAATTTATAAATTAATAATTTTGACATCAACTATACACACACACACACACACACACACATACATACATACATACACACATACATACACACACATACATACACACACATACATACATACATACATACATACATATACGCACACACACACACACACACACACACACACACACACAAAGAGATTAAGATTAAAATTATCATTTTAACTTAATTCCAAACAATTTATTCCAAACAATTAATTTTACCGTTAGCAAGTACAGTTAACAATTGAGTAAGTCCCCTTCCATCTAATATATATATATATATATATGTGTATGTGTGTGTATATATATATATATATATATATATATATATATATATATATATATATATATATATATATATATATATATATATATATATATATATATAGCACCGGAACATTTCAAAGGATAATAAATCATTCATCAACTAAAATCCTTAAAATCGCTAACATTTTAACATTTTTGGATGTATAGATTGCAAGTTTCTGCTAATATAGATTACGAGAGAGAGAGAGAGAGAGAGAATAATAGAAAGAAACAGAATAATTTCTCAAATACTTGATAAAAACATTTATGGAAGATGCCAGGTCTCTATAATATTTCCCTGATACTGAAATAATTAAAATATTATTCAAAACATTATTTAACCTATAATTGAATTTCCTTGATAACCAAGACAAAATGCCTCCAGTAATTTATCACTAGAAGTATTTCACCTTAAATGAAACTAGCTGTGTGTTGACTTCAAGCAAAATGAACTGAATTTTACTGTAGGACAGTTATCTGGTATGTTACTGTATTTTAAAGTAGCATTGTGAAAATTACTGTATATTCCAAAGTAAAGTCATACTGTACTGTAAATACATATACAGCAATATAAATAATGCAAATGCAAATTTTGTAGTTTTTGCTGTATTTGATTTACAGTAAATTATTGGCAATCTGCTGCTAGTAGTTTATTGTAGATTCAACAGGAAATTGTTAACAGAGTGTGTATAGTTACAGTAAATGCATTGTTAGTAGTTAGATTACCGCTCTGCTATGTCCTTTCTGTACAGATGTAAAATAGCTTCTACCTCAAGAATTATGTTCATATTTATGAAGATGTTTATTGATGCAGCACTATGGTCCTGCAAGACACAATATTTCATTCCACTGAATTTCCACACGTCTAGTTGAAAGACAATAAAGCTCAACTTGGACTTGAAATTGAATATATATATATATATATATATATATATATATATATATATATATATATATATATATATATATATATATATATATATTAGGCTGGCTAAAGTTCATAAACCTTAATCACCTTGTGCTACCATAGATAACAAGAGAAAGTCTTTTTATCCGCTGCTCTTTCTCTGTTAAAGGTGACAATATAAATGTTTCAGAGGAGGAAGGGTGTGACTAAGCCCTGTAAAAACGGCTGTAATTAAATTCACTGATTCCAACGCTGTAATAAAGTTGTTCTTATAAAGAAAACTAAATATAACCTTAATACAGACCTGCAACTCTAATCAGCGTCTCACAAGCTCGAGTTGCTGCTTTATAAAAGCAGCGCTTTAAATAATCCTTCATTTAAATGCAGAGCACTTTTGTTTTAAGATCACAGTTTTTTTAAGACCAATGCTGTTGTCCTAAAGAATCGTCTAATTTTCTAGTACATTCTGTTGGGCTATACTTTTTAGTAAGTTAATGATGTATTATAAATATTGCACACTTCTAAAAAGAGCATGTTGATGTTCTAAAATCAATTCACAAAGAAAAATGCAACATTTTTTTTTTTTTTTGGAATTCATACTACACAGATATTTACAGAATGCTTTATAGCTATGATCATGTGCTGTCAGGGACACATGGAGCTTCTAAGGTTTTATTAAAGTCATTTACCTTTGTCTTTCCTATCGTGTTCCTTAGGCAACAATAAAACATAGTAAGAATTCAGAAGAATATTGAGTGAATATTTAAATACTGTATAGTGAATATTTCCTTCAAACTTAGCTTTGCGCCACTCTAAAATACAACCTGAATGTGGACTGTCTGCATACGAATGGAAAGTAATTGAAAAGATAAGTGCAGAGACACATGTGATTGGAATTTGATCAGGTCATTCCAAAAAAAAAACAACAAGTCTGAGCTGTTTGGATCTGACAATAGTGCAAACTTTCCACCACTGGTCACAAGAACAGCCATTGGAGTCTGTAAAAAACAGTGTTTGTGATGAAACCTCAAGATCGAACTGTTTGACTCACCAGTAAAGGAGGCTGAGGGAGAGCAGAAAAAGGCACACGGTCAGTGAGAGTCCACTCGCCTCGACCCCAAACCACTTCAGACCGTCCACTAACAGCTGCATGATGGGATCTGTCAATCTCACCGTTTTCTTCCTGCACATAAAGAGGAGACAACAAACTAAATGCACTTGATGTTCAAAAGGACTGCACTACACAGTGAAAAAATCCTTTAGATGAACAATTTTATCTGATCTTTAAAAACAGACAAGTCAATTAAAATATTCATTCATTCATTTTCTTTTCGGCCCCCGCATATGTTTTATGCAGGTGATGCCTTTCCAGTTGAAACCCATCACTGGGAAACATTCATACTCACTCATTCACACACATACACTACGGACAATTTAGTCTACCCAATTCACCTATAGCGCATGTTTTTGGACTTGTGGAGGAAACCAGAGCACGCGGAGAAAACCCACGCAAACACAAGGAGAACATGCAAACTCCACACAGAAATGCCAACAGGCCCAGCCACGGTTTGAACCATATTGGCAACCTTTTTGCTGTGAGGCGATCGTGCTACCCACTGCGCCACCGTGATACCTCCAATTAACCATAATATCATTAAATTATACGATCATCTGTCATACACTTAATAATGTATTTTTTTTTTTTTGCTGCTTGTTCAAATTACTTATTTAGGTTAAATTGTATCAATGCATTTTTTTCTTTTTTTGGCACAACTTAATTGTTTTATGTCCAATCCACTTAATTTTGTAGAAACAGCTATGGTAAATTAATTGATTTGTGTTGAAACAACATGAAGGAATTGTAAAAATGAATGACAACCAAAGGGCCCTCTGATTTCTGTGATGCTGAAAGTTATGGAATACATTATTTGACAAAATTATTATTACATTTTTAACGAATAATCACAATTTTTCCTATCCGTTTTACCTTTTGAGAATTTGAGAAACGTTCTAAAAATTAAAGATGTTAAATTGTATGTGTAATTGTACTAAGTGCTGAAATTTTTTCATTTATTAGATCTGTAACATTTATTTTTAGCTATTGAAACATATGAAAAAAATATAATTAGAAAAATATTAATTAAAAAAATAATAATTATTAGAAATTATAAAAAAATAGAAATAATAATAATAATTAGAAAAATAATAATTAGGAAAAAGGTGACACGATCGCTCGGTGAGTAACACTGTCACTTCACAGCAAAAAAAGTTGCTGGTTTGGCCCATTGGCATTTCTAAATAGAGTTTACATGTTCTCCCAGTTTTGGCATGAGTTTTCTTTATTTGCATAAAGTTCTCAACCTTGTCACATCGCTCAACAAGCCCACCTAGTCGCCAGCGCTCACTGTCGTTCACTTAGACAGCGGTCGCCAGAAGTAGCTCGCTATATGTTGAAAGAAACAGTCACTTGTCGGTACCACCAACATGCTGGATAAGTTGGTGGTACATTCCACTGTGGTGACCCCTGATAAATAAAGAGACTAAGCTGGAGGAAAATAATTGAATGTATTATTAGAAATAATAATAATAATAATAATAATAATAATAATAATAATAATAATAAACTTTGGCTGGGTCAGTTGGCATTTCTGTGTGGAGTTTGCATGTTCTCCGTGTGTTTGCGTGGGTGCTCCGGTTTCCCCCACAAGTCCAAAGACATGCGCTACAGGTGAATTGGGTAGGATAAATAGTCTGTAGTGTATGTGTGTGAATGAAAGTGTATGGTGTTTCCCAGTGATAGGTTGCAGCTGGAAGGGCATTAGCTTTGTAAAACATATGCTAGAAAAGTTGCCGGTTTATTCTGCTGTGGCAACCCCAGATTAATAAACGGACTAAGCTGAAAAGAAAATGAATAATAATAAAAATAATAATAATAATAATAATAATAATAATAATAATAAATGGAATTTAGGATGATTTAAACTAAAATTGAATATGGGGAGAAATGTTTTAATCCCAGCTGTTTATAAAAAAAAACCAATGACAATTGTGAATAAAATGATTTTAGGTACTGCAATATTTAATTATTATTTAATAATTTTTGATATTTCCAAATTATCATCATACATCATTATATAGAATTTTACTATGAAAAAATATAAGCTCAAAAAATGAACAGCATCCCCAAAGTAAGTGAGTAAAGGTGTATTTATATAGCACCTTTTACAGACAATAAGCCACAAAGTGCTTCACATTAAAAGAAAACTGGAAAAAGGTAAAAGAAAGCATATAATTAAACAAAATATATAAAAACAGGTTAAAAGTCCAAGAAAAGAAACACCAATATAAAACCAGCTAACCATAATGTTAATTAAAAGCTTGACCAAAAATGTGTCTTTAAATGTTTTTAAAAAGGTCAACAGATCCCAGAGTTCTCAGTGCTAGAGGGAGAATTCCAGAGCCTTGGGGCCACAACACAGAAGGCACGGTCATCTTTAGTCCTAAGACATGTTCTGTGAATGGCTAAAAGGTCTTTGCCAAAAGACCTCAGAGACCAGCCACAGGAGTGACCATGTAAAAGATCTTGAATATAAAGGAGGGCTTGAACATGCAGAGCTCTACATGTTATTACCAGAATCGTAAAGTTGTCTACCAGCTAATAACATTCTGTTAAAGTGAACATAATGTTAGTTAACATGTTTTTAAAAAAAATACACAATACAAATAATTAAAAAATTACTGGTGTCTAGCATGGCTGACATTATATTATCATCAACTGTCAAACAGATCAAGAGCATATAAGAATTCAAAGGTGTGCAAAAGGGCCAATATTATAAATTTCACAGTAATAGACCATGCAGGGAAACATTTAGATATAATAAAACTGACACTACCCATGTGATTTGTATACTTAGCATAAAGCAAAATGAGAAATTAGATAACCATCTCATGCTCACTTGATTAGACAGGAGAAATCAGAGCTATAAAAGTATACATTAAGGACATCGCAGGACTTGAGTTTACTGTACTAGATTTGTTTCAGTATTATTGATACATACATAATATCAAAGATGCAAATATACAATGGAAAGATTTTTCTGGAAAGTCATTATATAGCTACAAGAAAGAAACAGATTTATCCATTTGACAGCGATTCCTTTCTGTTATACCTCTGTGTTTATTACGTAATTATTAACGTTCTCTAACAAAATTAAAGTTAACAGTCGGGATATTTAGAATGAAATGTCAACACTGTGTTACTGGTGCACCAGTACAAATACGATGAATAAGTTCAACACTTTCAATGTTATGTCATGTCACCTTTTACCTATTGTTTTGAAATAGCATGCGTACAGCAGTTTAGCCTTGCGGAAGAAGACATCTAATCTAATGGTCTTCTGCTAATATGTGTTAGTCTTGGTATTTCAGAGATGCTGTGTAGTAGTGTTATGAACGTATTAGTTAACCATGATAGTAAATAATAATAACAACGCGCTTACCCCGTGTTTGACAACAACCGCTTGCGATGACACAGAGGCGTTCTGGAACTTGTAGTTTTGCGCTGACAATAAGCGCTTTTCCCACGCAATGAATTGTGGTACTTGGAGTTTGCACAGTGCTTAAGTTTTTTTTTTAAACTTTATTATTAGGCTGTTAGAAGATTTTTTTATTAATAATAATAATAATAATAATCATATTAATAATAATAATAATAATAATAATAATAATAATAATAATAATAATAATACTATTAATAATAATAATAATAATAATAATAATAAGGAGAAGAAGAAGAAGAAGAAGAAGAAGAAGAAGAAGAAGAAGAAGAAGAAGACAAAGAATCATAGTTATATCATATCATTGTACAATAATTATAATATTGAATTCAATTTTTTAATATAATAAATGTTTAAACATAATATGGGAATTAGTTATATCAAGTTGCATTTTAACATTTTGTGTACCCATTTTAGGGCTGTGTTCATTTCTTTCCACATCCATTACCTGTTAATCTAAAATTTATTATTAATTTAGATAAATTTTGAATGTAGTATTATTGATTATATTTACTAATTTAATGGTCATTTATTTATTGTTTTCCTATTTTTTTAAATCATACTTTTTCTTCTATTAATCATTTTACTTTTATTGTTTACATTTGTTACAATGTTTTAATCCAGTTTATTTACCTCTTTGCATGTCCATTTAAATTTCTAAATATTAAAAAACGTTTTAACCTTGTTTCAACACAAAATTATTAGCCCTTTAAGCAATATATATTTATGATAGTATACAGAACAAACCATCATTATACAATAACTTGTTTAATTACCCTAACCTGCCTAGTTAACCTAATTAACCAAGTTAAGCCTTTAAATGGCACTTTAAGCTATATAGAAGTGTCTTAAAAATATTGAGTCAATTATTTGTTTACTGTCATCATGAAAAAGATCTATTCATTTATCAGAAATTAATTATCAAAACTTTTATGTTTAGACGTGTTGAAAAAAAAAATCTCTTCATTAACAGAAATTGGGGAAAAATAATCAGGGGGACTAATAATTCTGACTTCAACTGTATGTGGTAATTTTTAAAATGCCTTTATTTAAAAATACCATTCATTCACATGAATATTATTGTACATTGTGTATCAAATTACAAAAATAGGGGCAACACGGTGGCTCAGTGGTTAGCACTGTCACCTGACAGCAAGAAGGTCACTGGATCGAGTTCCGGCTGGGTCAGTTGGCGTTCTCCCCATGTTGGCGTGGGTTTCCTCTGGGTGGGTGATGTCTAGATTGGACGGCTGCGGATACACACATCAGCATCATTTTTGTGACAATTAATCTTTTTTTAGTATTGTGACGGTTGGGTTTAGGGTTGGGTGGGGGTAGATATTAAAAAAAATATGTCATGCGCTGAACTGTAGGTGAATTGAATTAACTAAATTGGCTGTAGTGTATGAGTGTGTGTGTGTGAATGAGTGTGTATGGGTGTTTCCCAGTACTGGGTTCCAGCTGGAAGGGCATCTGCTGTGTAAAAACATATTTAGGATAAGTTGGCGGTTCATTCAGCTGTGGCAACCCCTGATAAATAAAGGGACTAAGCCGAAGGGAAATGAATGAAATTTAAAAAATTACAACAATATTAACATTTAATTAAAATGTAATATTAATATACCATCTTATCACCAGCACACATTTAGGCACTTTATCAGTAGTATTTTGACAGAACTAGCTCTGTTCATAAAGCTAGTGTACTGCGTGATCGAGTAGATCGTCGTTTGATTTAAACTCCCTGCTCAACACGATCAGCTCTCTCGTCGCTCGATTATAACGCAAAGTCGCTCCGTTCGCTCGCTCGTATCTCTCATTGCAACTTTTGCAGGCACTCACTCCACAGACATGATCACAAGCTGAAGCCAAGACCTGCAATTTGGCTCTGTTTTGGAGCCAAAACACCACCGAGACCCGTGGAGTTAAGTTGCAGACGTCCGTTTCTCATCACGCACCCCGGGCCGATCATCAAATGTAAATTCTGGATGTGATTTTTCAGTCTTTTATCCCTTTTCTCTCCCCCGATGAACTGGGTTAGTAATGCAGGAGATAGCAGCGATTCTGTCCGCGGCTCAAGATGGCAGATTTTTATTGAGTTGTGAACAGTGCTGTCGCTTCATTTTTTGCCATGAATAACAGAAACCCTTGCACCGATGGCCCCTGTATACGAAGGTAAGATCCACAGCCTTTACCATGGTGAAATTGATGTCAGACCTGCACGTAATTAAGCAACATTATTCACTCTCTGCGCAGAGAGACCGTCGGGTCCTGAGGTTCATTACCTATCTATTACTTGTGTCAGAGAGAATGCATTTGTTTATATTAATGTATGTATCAAAAGCAAAGCGTCTGACATATAGTTGTTGAGTTCGTTCTGCTTTATTAATTGTGAATGTGTGACTAAAATGCATTAACAATACCTATAATTGTCAAATGCTGTTCCTCACTTAACGTTTATCATTAAATGGTGCCATTACAAGGTTTTAAAATAGACTGTCGTGCATGCTCTGTGTATAATAGCCTAGGTTATTTGGATTTGTTTGCTAGCGTACGAAACAGAAAGGGAAAAGTGGATGTGAGTCAAACACTGTGCATACAGATGTACTTCTTGCTTTCTATTTTCTTATTGAACTATTATGGGACTTGACATGCTGCACAATAGCGTTCATGTTGTAATGGTTTAGCATAATTTATACTAACTAATACACTGCAGTGTTGTGGTGACTAATCTTTGTGCAGGAATGCTTCATAAAGCGAATACAGTGCAGTTTTTTGTACCCTCTTAGCATTTATTTGTTCTCCACGAGTGGTGAAATCGATTCATCATCAGCCTAAAATACTGTTTTGTTCTCTATAGAGTGTCTCGAGGTCATTCACAGGGCTAGTTCACCCTAAAATGAATCCTGTCATCATTTGCTCACCTTTTCTGTGGAGATTTTAGACAGAATGTTAGTGTCCGCCAGTCTGGTTGTTCACTTTCATAAAAGATGAATTGAAAGCGAACAGTGGTATCTTTTCCAGTCATACAGCTTTTGAATGATATGAGGGTGAGCAAATATGCTTGAATTGACATTTTTGGATGAACTATTCCCTTACGGCTGTCTTGAAACCTGTGCGCTTCCTACCTAGACAGCATCATCAGTGCATATGCAGCCCTTTATTCAGTGCTATAAAAATGCTGTCTGTGTAAGCAGCTCACTACTGTAGGTCTTGTGGCAGAGCCTGTGTTGTGGTTGAGTTTGGTTTCAGATTGAGAACAAATCCTCTTTGTTGGTGTTAGTTCATAATTAAAGATGAAGCCCTGAAAATGTCAGAAGTGCCATGATGCCTCCCTCAGACAACTGCAGGATTATGCTTGAATTTTGAAAAGTATTTTTGATTGATTGATTACCCAGGCTCCCTCTGCTGGTGGTATCAATCCCACCATAGCAAATGTTAATCAAGGTCTTTGTGATTATTTGCAAACAAATAAGCAGTGCTTTTAATGAACTAACAAACAAAGGGAAGTGGGAAATATGCAAACTTTTACTCAAATAGTTTTTTGACTTATTAGGTGCTCGGATGATTTTACTATGCAAATGATAGATAGATAGATAGATAGATAGATAGATAGATGACAGACAGACAGACAGACAGACAGACAGATAGATAGATAGATAGATAGATAGATAGATAGATAGATAGATAGATAGATAGATAGAACGATAGATAGATAGAACGATAGATAGATAGACAGACAGATAGACAGACAGATAGACAGATGATAGATAGATTTATTTTGTTAGAATACAACTTTTGAAAATATTTAAAGTCCATGTAAAATCAAAATGTACAATGTTTATTTTGCTAGTTTGCTAGTAATTATTCTTTAGGTGAACAATTAACTTTTTTTTTGGTAATCTTTAATCACAGTCTGTGTATTTGCTTCTGTGTTTGGTGTGGTGGTCCTTCTCTATTGATCTCTGAGTCAGTTTGCTGGCTTCAGCTACAATATTTTTAGCCACGCCCCTCTTACCGTTAGTTTGCTGCAAATAAATGATGCTCAAAAACAAAAGCCCCGCCCCCTACTGAAAATTCCTTTTCAGTTGAAAGTACATCAATATGCTGAAATACAAGTCTCAGCAACTTCCAGTTCAAGCGGACTTTAATGTTACAACCTCATGGGACATCAGAAGACCCTTGAGGCTTGTCTTAGCCTCATCGTTACTCCTGAAGTTTGCTCTGTGTATTGTGTAAACAGCTTTTCCTATGGGGACGTTTACCAAGATCCCAAACAAAACCGAGTGAGCTCAATTTAGAACCAGTCTGCAGAACTTTAACGTCATTGTTTTGTCAAATGGTGGTGCTTATAAGGTGCAAAAAGAGATCTGTCATTTGGAAGTAGTCGCTGAAGTAGAAGTGACATTGTTCTGCTGGCTTCTCTTTTTCTGCTCTTGCTTATTATAGATGCATGCGCTCAGAATGGAAATGTGGGGCAGCATCACACATTTTCTTTACTGTCCATATGTCTCGTGTGATATTATGAATGTAATTATGTGGTTGTTACACTTCCGATGGCTGGATATGGATGGTTTCTGTTACTGTTTATCACTCTTTGTTTCACTCATAGACTATAGTGCTTTTTTAGGTGAGTTTTAAAATTGGGAGTTTATTTGTCATTTCCTTATAGATGATTTAATGGGTTGGTAATCTAAAAATTGAACATTTGTTGTTAACATAACCACCCTCAGGTAACAGAGTTGAAAAATTAAGTGATTAATTTTCTTTTTATAGGTTGTTAAAATATTGGTGTCTGTGATGCAGCAAGTTCAGAGACTGTTGTGTACACCATTATTTTATATAAAGTTCTCTTTAATGTGTGATATGACCTAAAAGTGGTCAGAAACAAATATTTTCTGAATTCAAATGAGTAGCGGCTTGGACCCGGAAAAAGTATTCCATACGACACCACTTAGCAGGCAAATAGCTCAAATGTTTGGACTGTGGGGAAAACTGGAGCACTCGGAGAAAACCCACGCGAACACGAAGATAACATGCAAACTCCACAAAGACTGCATACTGGCCCAGCCGGGACTGGAACCAGCGACCTTTTTGCTGTGAGGTGACAGTGCTAAGCCACATTTTTGTGTGAACTATCCCTTCACTAATTGGTTAACATATTGCTTTTTGTGGTTTGGTGCATTTGAACATGCATTAAAAAACTAGATTAAATGTACCGTCATGCTTGTTTATGGTTTATTTACAGACTCCTCTGCTCATCTCATGCCTGTCAGATGCATGTATTGTGTTGTTAAAAGCACGTGTGAGCTGCCTTGAGCTCTTTTGAAAATCAGGAGTAAAAGACCTTTCAGTTTGTGAATAAATATCTGTTACTGCTCCAGTTTAGGGTACAGACTGTCCGTTGAGACGTTTGTAATGCCAGTCCATAGTGAGAGCTCTTTGTTGTTGCCTTTTCCCCTGCACTGATGTGTCTTTGTGGAGCGCTGTGGTGCAGGCCCAAATGCTCTGGCTCAATCCCATACGGAAGAGTAATCTGGGGCCAGAGGAGTCTTGGCTCCTGGCCCCGTAACCCACACTGACATGTTGATAAATGCCTGATGTGAGGACCAGGACGACCTGTCTCTGAGGCAGTAGGAAGCAAATGTTTAGCCTTGAAATGTGGAGATGGAAAGACACCTTGAGACAGGCCTGTCTGGGTTTTTCAAGCGAATTGGTGGGATTTTTTTTTAAGGGGTAATGTGAGGTGATTATTAAACAGCATGTTTGGAGCTGAAACTCTCTTTTTAAAGTAAACATTCTGTCATTATGTATTTACAAATCCGTCAGCAGATCACTAAGGTTTCTGCTCATTGATGGATCAGTAGATAGAGCAGGAGCCTGTATCATACAACTGAGTTAGCTGGCTATCAAGTTCCAGTTAAGTTTGCACCAATTCTGAGTTTTTACTGTGATGGCAGCTCAGCTCATCTCAGGTGCTTCATAATATCATGGCAACAAAGATCGGTTAAAGTCAAGCTGCCTTTGTGACCTCAAACCCAAGATTGGTGCAAACTAAACTGAAACTTAACTAGCTATCTAGCTAATGCAGCTTCATAGTACAGACCCCTGGCTTTCAAATACTCTAGTGCAGGGGTGGGCGAACTCGGTCCTGGAGGTCGATGCCTTGCACAGTTTAGCTCCAACTCTAATCAAACACACCTGCTTATAGATTTCTAGTGATATTGAAGACATTGGCTGTTTCTCAATTCCAAGAACGCAGAGAATGAAGTTGGGTTCTTGTGGAGACCGGTCTTGCCAGATGTCCTCGGAAGAACGAACTTAGGAGACCGAGAAGGCAGAGAACGCGTCCTTTGAGAAATGAGATGCTGCGTTCTTCCTGATGGTCATGTGACCTTCATGCGTTTTAAATGGTAAATTATTTAAACATTACAGCACTCATACAACGATTTATTGTTTTTCCCCTCTTCAAAATATATACTTTGCATAAAAGCATTATAAATATACCCTGCACAATATAAATAAAACAAATTTTAATACGAATTTCAGCAAGCAAACACCCTTATGTGTTTATTCCTATATTAAGATGTTCATGTTAATATTTACTTTCACCGTTTCATTTAGGGAAAGTCCTGAGGTAAATAAATTATATCTCTGAACTTTAATAATAAATCTAAATAAAATGCTTCGCTTCCCATCTCCAGTCGCAATGACTTCTGGGACTTCCAGAGCAAGTTCGGTGCTCAAGTCTGCATCAGTGCTACCTCGAAATCAAAAACACATCCGGGAAGTTTCACACGTCCTCCGTACTTGCGGTCTTGAGTATTGGAACTGAACTTAGGCAGCTGATGATGACGTTGCACGAGAACACGAGGACGCAAGACCGCTGAAGAACGCATATTAAGAAACGGGTATTGATTAGCATGTTCAGGTGTGGTTGATTAGTGTTGGAGCAAAACTGTGCAGGACACCAACCCTCCAGGACTGAGTTTGCCCACCCCTGCACTAGGCTATTTGAAAGCACTAGTGTTTGTGTATTTGCATTTGGTGAGCAACACTTAAGAGTGGTGAAGCGGTGATCTTCAGAGCCAATAACCTGTTGAGCACATAAACAATATAGCCAATCAGCAGTGTTTAAGCACATGCTCAGAAGCGGTGTGAACCTACACCAGTCT